GTCCCTTCTTTCTCCTTCATTATCATTCTCCTTCATTAATACATTCGATGTGAAGTAAAAATAGATTCAGGGCAAGCTGGTATCGCGTGGAAAATATTACAAAATTCGTATCAATGCGTTACACCAACGTCTCGTATCTTATTTCCTTGGCATGAAAAATTATTAACGCTCTATATTACAACATGATATTACCCATATAAAAAGATAAAAGAGATATGTTTCATAGGAAGATCAAATATACCGGATGGTATTTTCCATAGGTATAAATTAAGTAAACCGTAAAAGGATAAACGACGAATTAGCATAGTTTTAATGAACGAATTTAAATCAAGTTCCATTCCCTTTGAGACTAGTCGCATTTATAAATGTAAATATCTCGGTGCGAAAAAATTAATCTCTTCTATTGAGAATTCCTCCTCTTCCAGTCATTAAAATACTCATTAGAATAACGAGAAAATTAAGAAAGAATTTCAAAGAAAAAGAATGAAATACAGTCCCTTGTCGCAAAGTTCTTTGTTGCAATTCTCCTTGTAATAACCGAAAGCTTGTAAAGAACTTCGCAGCGATAGAATTAAGCACGGTCGAGGAATGCATTGTAAAATACAATTTAAAATCGGTAGAGGAATCGTTCGACTGTCCTGGATGGGACGCAGTACGCGCGGCTTAGCAAACCAGCTTCAATTTGACAAACTTGCGCGTTGTCGTTACGCTGTTCCAGAACATCCATTAAAATTCCTGGAGGCGCTAACTAACGACATTCCCGATTATTCTGTTCGACGCCCTTCGAATGCGGTTTTATAGCTGTCAGGATATACAGACATATACCTACTTACCAGCGGAACCCACGGTATTGCGTCTGACACGGAAACTCGCTCGTAAATTCCCGCCGAACAAATTTCCAGCATGTGTCGCGGCTATCTTAGGTCCAGTGGTCCTCAACCGACAACGAATCGTTATCTAACTCCGCTAAAAAATTGAATCGATCGACTACTCCGAAGATACGTCAAAAAGTTATTTCAAATTTGAATTTAAAATAATTATTTGCTTGCAAATTTCCAACTGAAATAAGGTTTAATTCGTTTTACGAATCGGTATTTCCTATAGCAAAACGCATCAGAAGCATTTATCGATCTATAAATCGAAAAATAGAGAAAAGCGACGATATCGCAAATATTTTTTTGAAAATTATCTCGAAATTTATAACCGTGTATCCTATCTGTTGTAACAAACGAACCTAGTGGAAAATTGGATACTAATCAAACATCCAGGTAGAAATTTACAAAAAAAAAGTAGTCGATCGGTTACTCGAACGTAAGAGTCTCGTAGAAGCCAAATTGGCCAAATCCGCTATTTATAAAGTTATCAATTCCACGTTACCTAGGTGTGTGTATATACGATATATAATTAGAAGCAAATATCTGAAAAGAGAAATCTTATATTTTCATTTGTCACGAGAAGAAAGCGTCGATAATCGTAAATTCGGGCGAAACTTTCGAAAAATGATGTTTCTAATTGTCATCGTCGTATGAATTTTAATTTACAAAGTTGATCGGCGCGACGTCCGAACGGTTCGTATATCGAAGGAAAATTGAGAGCCGCTGTCGAGCTGGGAGCGGCCGGCAATCAGAATCTCGTACGTAGTCACACATTTAAACAAAAACACACATCGAGGTGGTACCGAAGCACTACTATCTCAATCCGTACGCAAATGAGCTTCTCCTGCCCTCTAAGGAGACGAAGCGAGAGCGATGCGCGTGTAAAAGTTGCCCAGACCCGAGCGTGTGTCGGCTCGTACGTGTTTCACGCGCGCGAGTTTCTCTTGTTCGATTCACGTACCGTGATGATCGGCCGCGTGTACGTACACATGCGTGGACGAGTAGGAGGATCGCGGGAGGGCAGAGGGAGAGGGCAAATCACAGCCACTCAAAGAAATAACCAGTGCTCATTAAGAGTAATAACCCCTCCGTTCTCTCGGTCGAGCCGATTGTTTCAAGGGTGTCACACGGATCGGGACAGCTGCGCGATCTACTGCGCGTCATTCGACGCTCTTCCTTATTATATTAGCTCGTTCGGGGTTGTAACGGGGTCCTCCAATGGCCTTGGTGCCGAAAGAGATCTCACGAACCTCGCGATATTCTCGAGCTCCGTCTTTACTCGAGCAACAGCCAAGAACTTCTCGTCGCTCCTTCTCCGTACATGTTGCAAATATCAATTTGTATATGCGTTTTGTCCACGCTGAAGAAAATAATCGGGAACTTGACGATGAGACAAAGACGAGCAACTTCTCGTAGCTTGTGGTTGACGCATGTTCCGAACGAATATCAACTTGCACAAACATTTTATCCACGTAATTAATGGAATAATCGCGTTGGATTTGAAAACGATATTCGTTGTTAGCAACAAGTATACGCGGAAGGAACGTATACTGCTGTCGCCGTGTGTTGCCGATCTTTAGCGCAACGAACGGAAACAAACAACGTACTGCGAGTCTGACTTGTAAAGTAAAGGGATTAGTTACTTCTGAAAGGGATTATGAACGCGTGGACGTCGTTCGGCTTGCGTTATCATCGATGAGGAAATGGTTTCGGCGAAGATCGTTTCGAGAGGAAACGTTTTAAGTCGCGTTAGCCGTCGCGAGATTGAAATCCCCGGCGGAGGCGCGACTGCTTGCGTTCCACGAAATTGTTACGCTTAATTCACGGAGTCGAGGACGATCGTCGACATCTGGACGGTTCCGGTCATCGTACGATCAACCGATTACATACTTGCAGGCTGCTACTTCGTTTCGCGATTAAATTCCGGTTCTTTGGAAATTACGCGTAATTTCTTTTTTATTTCTAAGCAAATTTCTATTTTAATCCCATTCCTTTGGTTTCTCTAGAATATCTAATTCGCCCGCGATCTAACAGACAACTTATACAACAGACAGCTTCTGGCTGTTGCCTAATTTACAAACGAAGGAGTTCGAACGAATACAAATAGATCATCCTCCACGGCGATGGGCGAATTCTCTGGATTCTTACAAAATTCCTCGACGCCATCTCTCGCAGAACTATACCGCGGTGAATGTCGCTGCGCTAATCCCGCCATTTATCCGTAACACATTTCTCCCGTCTTTACTGCACGAGCAACTCCTTCCAAGAAAGGTCCCTTCGACGTTCAAGGACATAAAAACGCGGATTATTTGGCCTCGCGATCGACGCGAACCATAATCCACGCGGCCGCGAATTACCGACGGTCAAGAAAACGAAGCTGAAGGAAGAGAGGAAGGAGAGGAAGAAGAAGAAGAAGAAGAAGAAGAAGAAGAAGAAGAAGACGGTGAAAGCGTTAACCAAACAGAGCTAAATCCACACTTCGCATCGGCAGAGGTTCTCATTAGGGTTTCAGGTTAAAAGAAGCGAATGTTCGAGGCACGGCAAGTATGGTCTTCGACTCTAATAACTATCAATTCCACGTTGACGCGGAACAGACGGACCAAAGCGAGAGGGACAGAGACGATATCCTGCCTGATATTCCGCTCTCTCGTCCAGGTTTGCTCGCGCCCCACCAAGCCTGATAATTACAGGCGAACGTCCAGCGAATGAGCAGGGGTATCATTAACACTTCCTGCCTCGTAACGACTCCTCGTCCGATACACGATACGCGATATACCCATGCGCGTCACTGCGTAAACCTGTCAACCCGCCTAATCGACGTGCAACAACGCATCCTCACCGACCACGAGATCCAAGATCGCTCCAAGATCGCTCGAGGATCGTTCGAACATCACACCGGGATCGCTCGATCGAATCTTGTCTGAAATACATTGCCGTGTCGCGCTATATTTCGTTGAAAATTGGTTCAACGAAGGCGTTCCCGCATTCTTACAGGCCATAGCTTTATTCGACTTAGCCGAGCTTGTAATTCAATCTCGAATTTTATGTGGAATAACTACGACTCGTACAATACGGGGCGCTATCGGTTTGCGATACAGTCACGAAAGAATAAGTGAAAATATTTGATATTTCAGGTCTAAGAAGAAGAAAATATCGGAAAGTGATTACGTATAAAAATTAACAGAATAAGCAAGAAAATAAGTTTCAGAAGCGAAGTAACGCTTACAGAATATCACGAAATATTAATCCAGTTATCGCTGGATGAGTAGAAATTCTACGCCTGTAAAAGACTATCGTCATCGAATTGTTAACGCGTAATTGTTAAGACATCGTACGAACCAAATCTCGTTAATTAGGAAGCAAATTGCTCGTGATCTGTCGCATTAGCCTTACCTTACCTATGATCCTTCGTTAAAAATAAAATCCTGCGATAAAAAACGGTACGCTAGTTGCTTGATTCGGATCGAACAACGACGATAGTTGTCTAATTGAAATTATCCGTGGATAGACGATGCCACGGTTAGGCAAGCCGGTGTAGAGCGTAAGGAATGACATTGAGCTCCTTTCTGGAGGCGGCCGCAGGAATTATCCCGTCAATGCGCGTCGCCCCGCGGCCAGGCTAATAACTACCAATTTACCTGTCTCGTAGAAGCAAAAACAGGTTCCATATAAATTCTCTGCTGGTTACATCGTTGACGTTATTATGACAACTAAGTCGGCACAAATCAATTATAACCCTATCCGCGTTTGGAAATCATTTGAAAGAAGAACCGCTTCGGTAGTTAGGAATCTCGGTACAATAGATTGCAAAATGATAGTCGGACACCGGTTACGTTCGTTGTTGCGATTAAGCGAAGCTGCCCATTTTGGTTGAAGTCTATGGTATTTGATTTATGAAATATCGAACGTTAGTCGCGTGTTCTAAGCAACGAAAGATCGCGAGACTGTCAGAAGACCAAGTCGACTATTTTGGCTTCTAATTTCTTTCTAATTCTAAGGAAAGATCCCGATAAATCACGTTTCCGCGTTTTTCATACAACTTTAAGGTGGTTTTGTAAAAATTTAAAAACGGAACGGATTAAGAAACCGATTTTCTAACGGAACGAATCTGTGGTTTGTTTCCAGTAGCGGCTCCAGGTTTGAGCGGCAGCATGCACGGCAGTGGGCTAATGTCGTTGCACGTGGAAGGGGGCACCCAGGTCCAGGTGCCGCGCTCTCTGATGCAAGCATTCCTGCAGCAAGACCCGAACCATCCAGGCCTGGAAACGGTCCGATTGCCGACGCCTCCGTGCGGCT